TTCCAGGGTGGCGATCTTGATCCCGTCATGCCGTGGAGATTGATGTTGGAGAGACAGATTCCGGTGAAAGGGGAGTTCTTCAGACCTAGTATTACGCCGGCCTGCTGAGCCTGCACGCCCCAAACGTCCTTTAATGTGATGCCCTTCACGACTGGGAGAGCATTTTGGTTGTATTTGTCATCTGGGTGGTCTCCAACATCTCCTGCAATCTTTATTCCCCTTCGGACTTTTTCCATGTACACGTCTGAAACTGTGATGTTTCTTATGAACGCTCCCCGGCCGATGTTTGTTTTGATGTGGATGCCAACTCCCATGTTGTAAAGGTTTATGTGTTCAGCCAAGACATTCTCCACCCCACCAGAGGTTTCACTTCCGATCGCAATTCCAGCAAATGGGGATGATCCTCTAACACGGCGGATGGTAATGCCCGAACTAGGGCGGCCATAAGCGATCCCATACTCATCCCATCCGCTCTTTACAGCCACAAGATCATCTCCAGTAGATATGTATGAGTCCTCTATGCAGACATTAGAGCTTGAATCTGCACATATGAATACAAAGATATACATTAGGAACATGAACATAAAGAGGCTTCACACTTAAACTACAGGCAAATAGACAATTGTGACTCTTCCATACTCAATCGTGACACCTATACAATGCACAGACCCTTGTCTTTTCCGCAGTAAACAAGATGTGGCTTATTTAGATAACAGGCATGTACCTGGATCAACTCCATCAGTGTTGGGAGAGTCATTTGGAGCCAAAATTGTGACATACCGGACAACAACGTTGCTGCAAAGGAGAAAAGTATGTATCAGATCAAAATCACAGCTCAGCAGTAAATTCTTTGCAGAAGGTGCATTAGGCTCAAGCACCATAAGGGCAGCTTAGGAAAACATGAAACAGGATAGTTGTGTTTGTACTATAATTTAGCTGGTCGATTTGATGTAATTCCAGCTTATAATCAGAATGTATTGGCAAAGTCGCAGTAAATTCATCAAGAAATTTGACTTTCACCCAAAAAAACTTTCCGACCTAATCATTATCAGACAGCATTCAACCTCAGGTTGAACTCGTTATTTAACTTTTGTACAGCCCTCTATGAAATGCCACCTTCTCTTCAACCGTTTACAAAGTGAGTTTCTGACAGAAGTTCCAAAAGTATTTCTCTCATTGAAGTGAGGCAATTGATCAGAACATTAACAATACGGCGCCAACTAACCTTTCTTCCCACAATCAATCCCTTCTGACCTACCCGAACAACATGTATGGACCCCCTCAACCCCCTCTTTATTGCAAATTTATAACTTACTTCCAAGTCTGCAGTCAGAATGGCAGCAAATAAAAAAGAATATGATGAATTTTTCACTTCCAACTTCATGATTTACTTTCGTTTAAAGTGATTCAGCTTCAAAAAACAATTGGTTTGAAGGGTGAACAAAAGACTCAACTTCGCAATCATAAGTAAAACAAACTGATGGATATAATTTTTGAACAAAAATGGCAGGTAGAGTACTGTAAAAGACTAGAAACATAAGGGAAAACAAAGCTCCAGTCCATAAATAAAAAAAGCAAAACTAAATTCCAAGTTTGGCTGTTACCTGCAATAAACAGGGTGAATGTTCCAAAAGGGAGAGTTCTGGAAAATCACATTGGAAATGATAATGTTTTTCGAGTTCATGAATTCGATGAGATTTGGTCTAGTAAACTGAAGAGTTCTTTGCCTCCACATGTTCCACCATACACCCCCTTGGCCATCGATTGTCCCATTCTCACCTGAAAAGGAACAACAACTCATTAGATATAGGGTAACCCGTAAAAAGAAGAAGTATGTCAACTCCCACAACCCAGCCTCCACCACACCCAAAAACAAAACAAAAAAGCAATAATTAAATCTTGTTCAAACCTACCAGTGATAACCACATCTTGGATTCCATCTCCATGAATGAAGCTCATATACCTCCCTCCAGGAAGCTCCCTCCCTCTTCCATAAGATGGCAAAGGAGCAATCAGAGGCCAATTCCTAGTATCCTGATGCATCAACCCACAAAGAGAATTGGAAGAAGCACAACATAAAATGAAACAATGACCACAAAATAAATCAACATTCACAAAACACTTCTATCATATAGTAAAGGGGGGAAAAAAGGTTTGCTGTAATGATGTTTACATAAGGGTCAGCATTTACAGCATTAATATTTAGGACCCTGCTGCTGCAAATCAGCAAAAATACAATAGTCAAAATTTTGAAATGATGTATTCTAAGAGATGCTTTACCGTACAAAACGCAGGACTTCAAATAAACCACAGACATATTAGTGGAAACTGATTATTTGGAAGAACTTTCAGTATGAAAGTTATAATCATTCCAGTAAAGGAACTTAAGATAATTGTTTGCCGTGCCTTTATTGAAATTTTAATTTTATATACATTCATTTTCATTTTAAAAGAGAAGGAGAAAAAAGTTAAAGATGTCTCTTGGAAAAGGACCCCATAGATTAACTGCTAGCACAAATTATAGCGCCGCGTTATGAACTAAAAAAAGTAGCAAAGCATTCCAATAGCGAACAGCTTTTGAACATGCCAGATAGTTACAAGTCCAAGTACAGAAAACTATGGAACCATAAGTTATGGCGCTCTGTGACCTGCTGATTAGGGTATCACATTCTTTTCCCGCATTAAGCACAAAATCATGCCATAATCTAAAGGTTAGGTTGCCTTTTCATGACAGTCAAAGTTAAACTTAGTACTATAATATTTGATTTGGCTTATAGCCTAAAATATAAATCATAGTGTTTAATTAATAGAAGACATTTACTTTAGAGGAATGGTTTTTGTAATAAAATAATAACAAATCACTGTTGCTGTTTTCTTAAATAATAAATTGTGACCAAGCCGTTCTTATCTTTGTCGAACCAGCAATATACTAATTTATTGTGACAGTATCAAAGACGACAAGATCTGTGACACTCCATCTAGCTGTCCAACTATTTGATTCATCATCCTATAAATGATATGCACATGCAACCACGCTGCAATAGACCCACCATGTATTTCTGCTTTTAGCCTGGTTCCGCCACATAGCCCGAGGCCACACATTCATTCTTTCTTGCTAAGCCACACAGGACCAAAACAAGTTGGATTTTTTTATTTTTTTTATTTTTGAATAGACACAAACACTCATAGAGATTACAAAAGTTGAACATAATCACACTTAAAACTCTGAAACCACTCATTTACTTGCATGACCCTACACTCTCATTCCTCAACTCGTTCAGTAAAAAAAAAAGGCACAACCCAGTAAACTGAAGCGCAGATATGTGGACTCTGTGCCATCAAATTAACTATGGCCATGGTAAAAGCATTAATTTGTAGAGCACAATTTAGGTGAACACATTGAATTGGTCATAAAAAGAGTGTTGGGTTTGTACCTGGGTGGCTTTGATAACAGCACCTTTGGCCAAATAAAGAGTCATGTGGCTTGTGAGGTTGAAGCTCTCTGTTAAGTAGACCCCAGGAGGTATGTAAAGAAGCGTGCCTCCTCTCCTCTTCAAATGCTCAATCCGATATATCGCTTCCCGAAACGCCTTGGTGTTCAATGTAACGCCGTCGCCGACGCCTCCGAAATCCGTTATCGATATCTTGTCGTTTCGGTACCTCATGGGCACTATCCCAGAGCAAGTTACCACTTCCGCCACTGAGAAGTAGCTGAGGCAGAGGAAAATCGAGAGGGAAAACCAGAGATAACCCATTTTTGGTAATTTCTAGAGTTTACGAGGGGAATTGAGAGATAAAGCGGAGGGGTTAAAGTCTAAAGCGCCAAAGAGAAAGCTCCAAAGAGTGCTTTAATGGGTGAATAGAAGGAGCAAATGCTAGTTGTTTAGATCTGGGAACGGAACAAAGAGAAGGCTCCAACAACCCAGCTCCAAAGAAGCGATTTTTGGTTAAGCTGCAAAATGGGTTTGCATTAATAAATTCAAAGACCACAGCTTTTGGTTAAATATTTGAAAGCAGAAAGCAGAGCGAGGAAGAACATACTAGTTGTTGTAGTCGTGGGTTTGAGCTTAAAGCTTTAGCTGCGCTGTTCCAACGGCTGAGATGAGCCTGGAAGATGACTTCGGAACTCGGAATCGGAGATTATGAATTTGAGAGTGAGAACTTTGTCTGCAAGTAATTGTCTTGAGCTGATAAAAGAGAAGGAGAGTGCGTGTGAGTAGAGCAAGTTGTGGGAGCGCAACACTTAAAGCACATTGGGTCGGTGGTTAATAAGCACCGCTTTTGTCACAAAAAATTAGCGCTTTCCAATGGAAAAAATATACAGCAGAAAAATGCTACCGTTAGTTCCGGGTGGGGCATGGAGAATTTTGGGCCGTTGATGAGTGGAATCCACATTATCAATGGATGAAAATACTTCACCCTTATAATTTGCAGACATTTGTAGGGTCCACACTATCAATGACTGCAAATACTTCACACGAGTAATACCCAAGATATTAAAAGAGGGAATTCTAACACGGAACATTGAATGCAGTAGTAAATGTTTTTAACTATTTGAGCTAAAATAAGTTCGTTGTAAAGCAGAATCTCTGGTTTAAATATAAATATAAATTGCATCTTGGATGGAAGATGCATGCTGCAACAAAATAATAATTTAGAATTTAGTGAATCAATTAACCAAATTTTGTTTTGAAAAACAAGATGGGAGACGATTAGGAGAAGTAGTAGTAGTAGTTTTCCCTTTTCCTTCAATTGAGAAATAAATAAATACATCACATGAAATTTAACATGGGGCATTCAGAATTCAGACTCAACATTGGCCTTTTGGGCCAGGAAGTTAGGCCCATGACGTTCAGTCCAGTTAGCTTGAGAAGACCGCGTACTCCCTCGCAACACTGAATCATAGCTCCTCTGGTTTTTCCCGCCATCTTGCCTAGTCCCAGTCTTTGCCCTATCCCGCCATTTTTAACCACAACTCTCTCTCTCATCGCCTCCCTTATTCACTTTGCGCTCTCTGTCTCTGTGTTCCTTCACTTGGCTCTCTCCGAGGTCAGTACCCTCTTTCATTTCATTTCAATTTTATTTTTACCTCGACTTCTTGTTTCGTTGCCGAGAAAGTGAAGGAAACGCAAAGAAAATTTACGTTCTGTTACTTACATTCAATTGTAATGTGAATTTCCTTTCATAATTATCATGGGTTTTGAAATTTGACCCCTTTTTTTCTGGATAAAACGTTAATTTTATTGTTGGGTTTAATTTTTTTTTTCTTTCCATTCTCGTGGTAATGTTAATTCTGCCTGATTGTGATGTTGGGTGCCAAGAGAATAAAATAAAGCAGAAGGTTGCTCAATCAAGCTTCTCAATATCTGTTTGATCTTCATTTTGATTGTATTAGAAATTCTTAGTTATTATTCCTCCCAATCACAATGCTATTATGTTAGGGTTTAATAGACCTATTCTTAAATCTCTATGCATTTTGGAACAATGACGGTGCTGATTGGACATAAAATGCAGGGACTCTGCTAAAAAATGACTAGAGACGAAGTTTCCAAAGGCAGCGATGACATGATGATTGACGAATATGAACAGAAGCAAGGGAATGTGGTTCCTGATGGATTTAACTCTCATTATCTCAAAGTTTACTATGGTAATCCCCGTTTAAGTTTATATTCTATTTGAATGTAATTGAGATAGTTACGTAGTTTTTGATTGCTTTAGAATCTATGATTCTGTAGAATTTTACTTTATATGCAGATGCTCCACTTTAGTCAATCGAATTGGTGGTTGTAACTTGTAACCTGTAAGGCACTTAAGACTTCAAACTTAGAACTAGATACAAATATGTGAACATTTGCTTATTGTTTGTGTAACAAGATATTGGTAATCACATGCAATGAGTGTTTGCTATTTTACTGAACATTTTTTTCGTTGATATGAATTTTGAGAGGTGATTTCAATAATCTTCCCCTTAACGGAAAGTGTTATTTGTAATAGGAAAGCTCTTTCCATATGCGGATATTTTTAAATGGATGTCCTATGGAAATGGTAAGCCACATCTCTCAATCAACCTGGTTCTAACCTTCAGTTTTCTTTGTGTTTTCATGTGCACACCTTGAAATTTATTTCTTCTGTGGACGTGTAACTGATTGCTGATTTGTAGATGGGAAGCATCCTGCATGCGACCAGTCCTACTTTAGCCGGAGAGAGTTCTCTTTCACACTGGATAATGAGGTTTATCTGCGGTTCCAGTCTTTCAACTCTATGTCTGAGCTTGAAAATTCGGTGAAAGAAAAGTGTCCAGTCAAAATAGATATTGGGCCTGTGTACAGTGTTGATGTAAGCTTTTTATGTCTGTATTTCCCAACTATTTGATAATGCAAGCGTTGACTTGACCTAACAATTTAATCATTCAAATCCTGAAAACCAACTTAGAAACAAGATGTATTTGAAAGAATTCATAATTATAGATCAAAGATAGAATTCCTGTCCATGGTTTCTTGTTGATTTTAATTGTTGCCTGTGGTTGGGTTTATAATAACCTTTTAGCACCATATCTGTGGTTTGAGTTTTCATCTTTTCTATGTTGCAGCCTTCAAAGAGGCATGCATATGCTCAGAGTGGCGATAATGTTTTCACCCCAGTGGAGAGGGAGCTGATTTTCGATATAGTAAGCTAATCAACCACTTGAACTTTGAAGATAGTCAATGGTCACAGTCTAACTAAACCTTTGACTATGACCGTTCTACGACATGTTTGAGTAAGGTTTTCTCCAACAGGATATGTCAGATTACGATGATGTTAGATACTGCTGCTCAGGAGCTGATGTTTGTTTGGAGTGCTGGCCGCTTATGACAATTGCTATCAAAGTTATTGATACTTCCCTTAGAGGTAGGAATTTTGTGTTTTGGAATCTGATATATATGTGGTTAGAGCCTTGACTTTTCACTTTTCTAAACTTATTTGCTGCAGATGACTTTGGTTTCAGTCACATTCTCTGGGTATATAGTGGAAGACGTGGTGTTCATTGCTGGGTTTGTGATGGGAAAGCAAGAAGGTGATTCTCTTAATGGTAGTAATCTTCCGTTTCTTAGGTTCCTAAGGCATGTCATGAAACTTAAACCATGTTCATTTTTCTTCAGGCTGACAAATGAACAGAGAGCAGCTATTGCTGACTATTTTCGTGTCTATAAGGTTGTGCACTGTTTAAATTACATTTGGGTTTTGAAAGATTTTTACATTTCTGTGAAAGTTGTTGATTCTATACTTTGTTCAGGGCAATGAAAACAGTCATAAAAAGGTTTCTTTTACTGGTCTTGCTCTCCATCCATTCCTTGCGTAAGTAGTAACGTACATTATTGACTTTACGATACCGGGCCCTTTGTTGCTTCCACTAAGAGTATTCATTCATGCAGGAGATCTTATACTGAAGTTCTTATGGATTTCTTTGAGAGGAAATTGCTTTTGAGTCAAGAGATATTTTCAACTGAGGAGAGATATGAAAAGATCTTAGATATGATTCCTGATCCTGATCAATGTATATGATGATTCTTTTCATGTCTTATGCATCTCTATGCCATATCCTGGAATAATGGTCAAGTTATAATACTTTGTTATCATTGCAGCTATTACTTCTGAGCTGCGTGGGAAATGGCAGGAAAAGAGAAGAACCGCTAATTCAAAAGATGACATTAATGTTCTTAGATGGGAGCAGCTGAAAAACGTGCTGCAATCTGGAAAACATAAGGTACAAATAGCAGATGTTTTTGAGTGTATGTACCAAAAGTGCATTGTTCTGGGACAATGATCCTAGTCTGTGAAATAGGATTTTGATGTTTGAAATTGTAATTAGGCCTGTAGTGAACTTAATTTTACTTTTAATCATTAATTGTTTCAGGTGCAGGGACTCCGCAGGTGTGTTGAAGAGATTGTGTTCTCTTTTACCTACCCTAGGCTTGACATGGAGGTATGCACAACAGCCCCACTTTCTTTTACTGCCTCCTGTTATTCAACTAGTAGTTTGTATAAACTAACTACATCAGAAATGTATGCTAAAAGATTGTCTGTTTGTGGTAGGTTTCAAAACATATGAACCATTTGTTAAAGGCGCCATTCTGTGTACATCCAAAAACAGGTTAGCCCGGTGGGAGTTTGTTTTTCTGGTGGTACAGGGTCTGGTTGATCGTATTTAATGAATTTTTTCCGGCCCTTAACTGCTTTTTACTCTCCCCCCAATTGATAAGTATTAGGCATTTGGATATTCTTAATGTTTCTCTGTTTATTTTATTTCTTTGTTCCAGGTCGTGTCTGTGTTCCAATCGATCCAAACCGATGTGAGGAATTTGATCCCACGGCAGTACCAACCCTTTCCAATGTAAATATGTACTTGGCTTCCAGTTTTCTTCTTCTCTGCATATATGTTTTCTTGGTGGGAGATTCTGTTATTTTTAGTCGAACTTTCTACATAATGCATATTCAACCATGTAAGATGGCAAATTTGATATAATTTTGAACATAGGGTGGCTTTTATGTGATCTAACCTGTATAGGATGCAACAATATGCACAGGTGCTTTCTCGGCCGGACCTTTCATATGACAGCAATGCTCTGAAAATATAACTCAACTAAGCCTTAGTTCTACTGCGTGGTCAGCTACATGAGTCCTTTTTTCCATTCCACTATATCAACGAGTTTAGCCTCAGTCACATCTTTCACATTCATATCCATCCACATTACCTCTGACCATGTTTTTGGTCATCATCTTCCCTTAGAACCTTATACTTTAATCAAATCACTCTTTCGTAAAACTGCATTGCTAGGTTGTCGTTGTACATTCAAACCCCTTTAAACGATTTTCCCTTATTTTATCTTCAAGTGATACCACTACTACCGTTTTAGGAATACATTCATTTTTTATGGTATCTTTTCTTGTATATTACTTCAGCATCTTTACATCTGCTTTCATCCTATGGACATGTTGTAGCCTGGTTGCCTGGCACTCCGTGTCTTATAACATTGCTGGTCTGGATATCTTGTAACCAAAAAGATGGTGTGCATGCCTTTTTATTGCAATAAATTGAACATTATGTAAGCTGGTTTTTTCTCACAATTCATTGTCTTTTGAGTTCTATGTGTCTTACATGATTATTATGTTTAATCTGCAGCTTTTAGAACAACTCAATATTGGAGGTTTAAGAGCAGAAGTTGATAATGGTGCGTCAAGTAACAGCACGTTTCTTTCATTTCATCTAGCATTGACTCTGATTTAGCATAGGAGGTTATACCTAGATGGAAAAATGATGTCGTTGGGTGGTTGTATCATGTATGATTATTGATTAGGCAATTTTGATGTAGGAAAAGCTACAAATTTTCCTGTTTACTGCAGGTGAACCTGCACTAAGAGCCACTTGAAATATATTTTGCTTTTGTGATTGATGGTGTTGTATATCTTTTACTTGATCACAGACTGGGACAGAACGTCACTTGGAAAATCAATACGGTTTTTCAGATCGTCATTTTTGCAGCCTCTGCTAAAATCTTGCAAGGTACGTAAGCAACTAACAAACCATTTTTATTTTAATTCTGCTTGAAAGATTGTTCATAAACCAGAATCATCTAGTCATGTTGAAGGATCTAGTTCTTTAGAGTAGAACAGAACATTCCACTAAGTCCTAATTTGATACCAAAAACAAAAATTATTTTTCAGACTTAGTTGTGTTCTTATCTATTAATAGGTTTTGTGATTCATGAATGTTTGCAGGAGGAGATGGAAAGTTCATACAGTGCGAAACTGCAGCAGTCGAAGAACTCCTTTAGTTGGTAAAACTGTTTGCTACAATACAATTATAATTCATCTTGTGGAATTGTCCCAACTTTCTGTGGTCCAGTTGATGTGAAGTTATATTTTCAAAAGACAATCAGGATTTAACAACGTACTGACATCTATTTGTAAATGACATGACACTTTGTTCACCAAACAGCACACATGTATCTTTTTTCTTTTCTTTTTTAAATATTCCTGTTGCAATTATTCTTTTTTTTTTTTCTTTCCAATGCGAAATGTCCAGAAAATCATGTGGAGTGTATAGTTACCATCACATGTATATTTACGGGATAGTCCGAGTTTGAATCTCCCTTCCTCCGTTCATAGGGAGAAAAACAAAAACTAACAACCAGTTTCTATATGCCACGTAAATTTATAGTCATACCTATTTCATTATTGCAATCACCACAGCTTTAATATCTCCATTCTGATTTCCCATTGGAACTGATTTCTTATATGATCCATCATTTCAACTTCCATTTTCGTCATGCATAAAAATACTTAAATGGTAAAAACGGGGTATGATACAACACGGAACTGCCTCCTCCTATATCTATGTGTGTTGTCAGTTCTTGAAAGGATGATGATGAAGAAGCCAATCTGAAGAGACGTAACGTTCACATGGTGTTTCTTCTCCAATAGGCACATTTGGTCCTTGGAGGACCACAAAACAACCTCATCTCCATTTTCACAGCAATGAGGATAAGGCCTTTCTTCTTCGCCGACGTGGCTGACCTCACTTCACCATCATCACTTTGGGATTTTTATTTTTATTTTTTCTATTTTTTAGTACAAGCGATAGTCTAAACTAAAGAATAGAATGAGTTCTCACACACACATCAAACAAAGATGTCATGTGGATTCAAACTTAACTTCTTGTCTGCAAATCAAGGCTATTTTTCATTGGGTTAGACGCTGATTAAATTTAGGTATAATTTTGGAGATAAAAAAATTTGAGAATTTTGGTTTATATATGTAGCAAGAACCTTAAAAATTCATTAAATCACTACTTAATCCATAAATAACACAACTCTAGGTGCCCTCAGACATTACATATAACTGGCAAAGTGCCTCGGTGTACAAAAACAAGGCACAAATACAGGGCCGCAAACAAAAGAGCCAAATACATATTTAACCCCAACCAAACTTAGAAACCAAAAACAAAGACAAACAAACATATTCAGATGGCTACTCTTGTAAGAATAAACTACCAATTTACAATTACCACTAATACTAAACTAGACAAAACAGAAATTGACATACTACTAGTAGTACAACTACTTACTTATATACCCTTAATTTGAAATTTTAATCTAAACACCCAAGATTAAGAAAATTAAGACTCTTCTAATTAGCAATAACTTCCCAAATCAACTCAGGATCATAGGAAGGCATTCTTGCAAGTGAGCAGCCTTCAAATTCTAAGTCCTCTGCCATCCCCATTGACCACTCTGTTGAAATAGAGGGTGGTGAATTCTCACACCTCCAAAGCCCATCTTCAGAAACTGTTGGTGTTGGTGTTAAAGACACCAATTCTTGACCAGAACCGTCGCCAAAACCCGACGGCGACGACGAAGACGGCGACGAATCCACCTTCATCACAGCCTTCTCATTCTCACTGGAATTACTGCTCTTCTTCGCGTTCTTCTTGGCTCTTTCTCTCTTCACCTTCTGGCAAATCGCTTGAATCTTTGCATCCACGGAGGTCTTCACAGCGTTCAATCTAGCGCAATCTCCAAAACCCATCTTACTTGGGTCCTTAAGATTGGGAAAATTCAACCTTGCATACTCTCCTCGAAGCTTATACGCCGCCCGATCGTAAGCATATGCGGCGGCTTCGGCGGTGTCGTATGTGCCAAGCCAGACCCTCATTCTGTTCTGAGGGAGCCTGATCTCAGCGACCCATTTGCCCCAATGCCTCTGTCTCACTCCCCTGTAGAGCTTCTTCTTGCATGGAGCCATGTAAGAGGTTGAAGAACAAGCAGAGCTCTGAACTGGGTTCTTCTGAAAAAAACGTGAAACCGCGGCGTTTGCCCGGCTTTCGTCGCAGAACTTCTGGAGAAGGTCTCTCTGGCGAAGGTAAACTGATGAACCCAGTGGCTCAGAAACAGAGCTGTTGTTGCTGGTGGTGGTGGTGGTGGTGGAGAGTGTTTGTGGGCAATGGGAGAAAATTGAGTCCAAGGTGTTTGTGTTGCTTGTTAAGATGAGATTTGAGAGTGAAGATCGGATGTCAATGGTGTCAGAAAACCCAAAAGCAAGCTTACTGTCTTGCATTGTGTCCATAGTTCTGGTAAAAAATTGAAGCAAATATTTAATCTGTAGGAAACAGGGCACTGAAAATAAGTCCCTTTTCCTAAAGAACCAGAAATGAAAAACAAGCAATTTGCAGATGGGAAAATAAGTGAGTGATCCGATTAAAAATATATGGACCAGAAGAGATGAAAGAGCTAAGCAGAGCAGAGAGCTCAAAAGAAGAGCAAGGTAGAGTTGCAGAAGAAAAAGAAAGGAAGAAGCTTTGGAAACTTTGGCTCTCTGAGAGATAGAGAAGGTTAGGACCTTTTTTTTTTTTTGGTTCTTGCTGATGTTCAGAGAGAGAGAGGGTTAGGAAAGGCTGAAGGGTGTCCTTATTTATAGCTGCAGTTTATTGCTGAGCTTTTAACATCTAACCTCTGTTCACAACTTCAAAATTTTACATGGTTTGAAATTTGGCCCGACTTACCTCAACCCACATGATAAATATGACTATTTTGCCCTTTTTATGTGGAAAGTGAGCCAAAATTGTGTTTTTTTGTATTGTATTTCCTTTTGGTTGAAGAATAAGAGTTTCTCTCCTTTTCTTTTACAATCCCAAATTCTGTGTTGGGTATTGTTAACTCGATATAGTATGGTTTTAATCTAATGAAGTGAATGTGTTAATTTGATATAGTTTACTCCGTAACAACTTAAACTTTTAAATTTAGTGATTGTCTAACATTATATCAAACTCTTCATGCGTACGTGTAAGATGAGGTTGTAAGCCTGCAAGCGAGGAAGAGTATTAGCTCAATCTACATCAAGAAGCTTTGGGAGCCTAATTTTTATTGTCCAACATGTGTTTTGTATTGTTAACTTGCTTTGGAACCCTTCTCTTTCTCCACATAATCATAACCGAAGGCTCAAAAACTAATGAGGATGATATTATGAAGAAAGATACGAAGGGTGTTATTGTAAAAGCAGGAAAGATCTAGAAACAAAAAAAGGTGTAATTGAACTGTACATTGTGGGAAGATTAGCTATTTGTGATTGTGAATGTGTATCTTGTAAGATTTTCGGTTTCACTCTCCGTGTGGTCGGTGGTCCCCACTGCTGTTCAAAAGCTACTTTGTCGATTTATTATAGAGAGTCAGCTCTCCCTGTTAAAGTCCACACTCTCCATAACTCCAGCTGCCACGCGTCTTCTCTCTTGCCAACAGATGGATGAGTTTTGCCTTCTTTTCTCGTTTAGCTTCGTCTCGTGCAGGTGCATCAGCAGCAGAGAGATTTTGCCTTTTGCATCAATGCTAAAGCTGATATATGCATCTGTGAATATCATCGGCTCATTGTATCATTTCTTCTAAGCTTCTTATTATACATCAAGCAATTATTCGACTTTGTGGAGTTTGAACCATTCAATGTTAAAACAAGTTGAGCATGTGTACCCAATTGCTTAGCCTCTAGCTTTGTGTAAACGTCTCCGTATGTATATGGTTCTCAGTCGTTGATGCTTATAAAACTTATCATAAAATAATCATTAATTAATATGATTTTATATGCACACGAAGATAACGATCGATATTAGAATTTGAAGTACGTTTCTCTCATGTGAAACAATGGCCTACAAGGAGTCAATTTATTCCATTGCAATTTGACATTTGCAAAACCATTGTATATCTCTACTTTTTAATTCTCACAAGATTAGTTTAATCTAACCTGATGTGGATTCCTTACTACATTCTCTGTATATGGTTATCAATTGTTGATGCATGTGAAATTTATCATAAAACAACCATTAAACAAAGATAACGATCGGTGTTAGAATTTGAAGGATGTTTATCTCACATGGAACGATGGCCTACAAGGAGTCAATTTTATTCCATTGCAATTTCACATGCGCAAAACCATTGTATATCTCTACTTTTTAATTCTCACAAGATTAATTTAATCTACCTTGATGTGGATTCCTAACTACATTCTCTGTACATGAAGGTTTTTGTGCTGTATGAAAATTATGGGTATGCTAATTTGGGAAAGGTTTTGTTTGCAAAGAGTTTCAATTGTCCAAAGAATCTCACCATAGATAGAAGGTAAGATTAGAAACTGTGGAGGTCACATCAATATTCAATAGTAGGATTGTTAAGGCATGAAATAAATAAGAAATTGAGGTAATAATGGTTGGAAACCTTTTTATTTTATTTGCTATCAACACTTCCAATGTCGTATCAATAAGATTAGGTCCAAATCTTATTGGTTCATTTTTATGCACAATCCTAAAACACAGTGAATTAAAGATTGCAGAAATTAAGGCAAAGCTTAGGGTAAAACCATGCATATGGGGTGAATTCTAAGTTGACTGAAAGACAAGTGGGGGTAAAACAGCTATGTTGGAAAGTAGCTACAGACTTCAGAGAATCTTGTGGTGCAATTGCAACTTGCAAGTCCACAAACCACTCAGAGATTGGGTAGTCTTGTAATTAAGTAAACCTAACATTTCCATACCCTTTTAATTTCTTGTGTTTTCAATCACCCTATCTAATGGCATCTATATGTTGTCATCTTGCATATTGAATTGATTGGGCATCATATAGGATTGTAGGATGTTTCACAAATTTGAGCAGGCAAACTTTTTGAGTAAGTAGCCCTTAGGAGTTAAGAACTACAACATGGGAGAAATAACTCATTTTCTACTCTCCATGTCATGCCCATAGCAAAATAATAAGGGAAACAAAAGTTGGTTATGTGTCTATTAATTGCCTTAATGAATCGAAGTACAACTTATAATGTTGTTGTCATTCATCATCAATGAATATGAAGATTATACAAACTTACATGCATCAACAGTTAATAATTACTGACACATGTGTAGCATGCATGTATATATTACCACAAACCAAGCCGAAACTAATTCGAGTCATCCTCTTCACCAAGGACATTAATTAGGAAAGAGAGATAGGGTTTGCAAGGGAGGCAAAGTGCA